TCACTGTGTAACCGTACAGGGTCAGTGTTTATTCAGCAGGGTAAGGGTCACTGTGTAACCGTACAGGGTCAGTGTTTATTCAGCAGGGTAAGGGTCACTCACTGTGTAACCGTACAGGGTCAGTGTTTATTCAGCAAGGTGATGCGACTGTGTCTTGGTTCCCAGGATGCGGAGATTGTTCGAACGCGGGATCCCCAGGTGCTGGAGGAGTGCGACGTGGTGGTGGATGTGGGAGGTGTCTACGACCCTGAGAAACACCGTTATGACCACCACCAGAGGTAAGCGCCCAGCGTTTCTCACGTGTGCCAGGGGTCCGTGGACCTGTCGGTTTGGTGGGCCGACATGTTTTTCCACTGCGGAGAAGCCGGGGTTTGGCGTTGCCCCCCCCCCCCCCACCAATCTAATGCGTGTGAGGGTGGGGGATGCTCGAATGAGTTTATCAGACAGGGCAAGGGCTGATTGATTCTATGGGGCCAACAGCTGTGAGGGGCTGAATGGCCTCGTGCTGACCCTGCCCCTCCTCTCTCTCTCTCTCTGCCCTGCCGCCCGCCTTTGCAGGTCCTTTATGGAGACGATGGCGAGTTTGAAGTCTGGCTCCCGTTTTGTCACAAAGCTTAGCAGCGCAGGCCTGGTTTACGCTCACTTTGGGAGGAGGATCCTGACCCAGCTCCTGCAGATCGACTGCACTGACCCCCTGCTGGACATCCTGCATGACAAGGTGGGTGTCCCCACCCCGGGGCCAGCTGGGAACTGGGGTGGGGGAAGATCGCTTTGAAAGGATGGAGTGGCAGCTCTGAGGGGACCAGTGCTGCTGATCGGGAGGACTTACAGCACTCACCTGTGTCCCCTCTGTCCCACCCTCTCATTCTCTGTCCTCCCCTTTTCTCCCTCGCTCGCTCTCTCACAGCTCTATGAAAACTTTGTGGAGGAGATTGATGCGATTGATAACGGGATCTCCCAGTGCGACGGAGAGCCCCGCTACAACGTGACGACCAACCTCAGCTCCCGTGTCGCGAACCTCAACCCTGCGTGGAACGCCAAGGATCCGGACACTGAGGTGAGTGGGAGGGAGCGTACGTGTGCGCGCGTGACCATGTGTGATGTAGGGGCTGGGTCCCATCATTGTGAATGAACATGCTGTGTCACTACCCATCGTCCTGCCCTTTTGCAGGAGGCGTTTGGGAAGGCAGTGAAACTCGTGGGCTCTGAGTTCTTGGACAGGCTCCAGTACTATCACACCTCGTGGCTTCCTGCTCGCTCGCTGATCGAGGAGGCAATTCAGGACCGGTTTAAGGTCAGGGAGATGGCTGGGGTGGTGTGTCGGGGAAGAGGGCGCGGGGGTGGTTCGGGGAATACCTAGTTCTGCCCGATCCTGTCACCCACTGTCTGCCCCTCTCGCAGCTCACTGCTCTGCCTTTACAGGAGGACGATTCCGGGGAGATTGTGGTCCTGGGGAAGGGGGGCTGCCCCTGGAAGGAGCACGTCTTCGAGCTGGAGAAGCAGCTGCAGATCGAGACCCCCATCAAGTTTGTGTTGTACACGGACCAACAGGGTCAGTGGAGAATTCAATGTGTCCCTCAGAGTCCAAACTCCTTCCAGAACAGGTCAGTGAGTGCTCAGTGTCAACCACAACAAAACACTCAATTTAACTCCCTCCCCGGGGGGGGGGTATCTGTTATTCTGTGTATAAACTGCCCCGAACCCCTCCCGGGTTATCTGTTATTTCAGGCTCTCGTTGCCAGAGGAATGGAGAGGTCTGAGAGACGGCGAGCTGTCTGCTGCCAGCGGGATTCCAGGCTGTGTCTTCGTCCACGCCAGCGGCTTCATCGGGGGCAATGTCAGCCGGGGCGGGGCCCTGGAGATGGCGCAGGCCGCCCTGTGCAGGGGCTCCGCACCCCGACCCCCCGAGCCGAGCTGACCTGCCATCCCTTACCCGCGCGCAGCAAATAAAATCCACCGAAACCGCCCTCTGCCTGTCTGTCTCCGATCGTGGATGGGTAGGGTTTGGGGACACACACACACATTCGGCCCCTCGAGCCTGCGTTCCCCTCCCCGAAATAAACAGAAGCCGAGGTGCCACTTCAGATTTTGGCGGGGTGGGGGGGGTGGTTAAACCTTTCTTCCCCGCCAATGTTTCCTTTAATTCAGACAACACACACAGACACAGAGTGAGCAGCGTCTGGGGAATCTCAGAGTTCGGAGAACAGGTCCCGGTGGGTGGAGCCCACGGGCTCTAGGCTGCAGCTGGTATCAGGAGCGAGGGTCTGGTTCCGGATGAAGCAGAAGGGGATGTGGGATACACGGCCACTCGACCAGCCCTGCACGGAGAGACAGAGAGAAATGAGGAGGGTCTGGGTTCGGCTCCCTCCTATAA